AATATGATACAGTTTTGAAGAGAATTTAATGTTCTTTCCAATGATATATAATTATAGCTAATTTGCACAAACTATATTGAAGAAATGGGCAATTATTCATGAGCGTGTCAAGATTTCAAAAAATTTCCATAGGCAAAAATTGAGATTTCCTATAGGATTTTTTCTCTCAATATAATTCTTAAATCTAACTGATCCAAGAATCGTTTCTGACTAATTTGAATTCGCTCTATCGATTTCTGGAGTCAGAATTGAGAAAAATTCAAAAATAAAAATTTTCAATTTTTTGTACTTTTTTCTAGGGGTATGCCCTTTGGATTTTTATTTTCAAATCTTCAAAGCTCGATATCTTGGTAACCAAGAGCGGTACCAAGACAACATTTTCAGGATTTGTAGCTCTTGATGAGGGCTTTCAGATGGTATATAGCTGAAATCGCTAGCTTTTATAGTTTTTGAGAAAATCGAGTTTGAAGTTTTGGACAAAATTTTGACTAAAGTTCAATTTTGGAGTTCGATTGCTCATGAACCCGTCGAGGTACTGGAACCAATATGATACTGTTTTGAAGAGAATTTAATGCTCTTTCCAATGATATATAATTGTAGCTAATTTGCATAAATTATATTGAAGTAATGGACAATAATTTATGAGCGTGTCAATATTTCAAAAAAATTCCATAGGCAAAAATTGAGATTTCCTATAGGATTTTTTCTCTCATTATAATTCTCAAATCTAACTGATCTAAGAGTCGTTTCTGACTAATTTGAATTCGCTCTATCGATTTCTGAAATCAGAATTGAGAAAAATTCAAAAATAAAAAAATTCAATTTTTTGCACTTTTTTCTAAGGGTATCCCCTTTGGATTTTTATTTTCAAATCTTCAAAGCTCGATATCTTGGTAACCAAGAGCGGTACCGAGACCAAATTTGCAGGGTTTGTAGCTCTCGATAAGGGCTTTCAGATGGTATATAACTGAAATCGCTAGCTTTTATAGATTTTGAGAAAATCGAGTTTGAAGTTTTGAACAAAATTTTGACTAAAGTCCAACTTTGAAGTTCGATTGCTCATGAACCCGTCGAGGTACTGGAACCAATATGGTACTGTTTTGAAGAGAATCTAATGCTCTTTCCAATGATATATAATTGTAGCTAATTTGCACAAACTATATTGAAGAAATGGGCAATTATTCATGAGCGTGTCAATATTTCAAAAAATTTCCATAGGCAAAAATTGAGAATTCCCATAGGATTTTTTCTTTCATTATGATTCTCAAATCTAACTGATCTAAGAGTCGTTTCTGACTAATTTGAATTCACTCTATGGATTTCTGACTCCGAATTGAGAAAAATTCAAAAATAAAAAAATTCAATTTCTTGCACTTTTTTCTAAGGGTATCCCCTTTGGATTTTTATTTTCAAATCTTCAAAGTTCGATATCTTGGTAACCAAGAGCGGTACCGAGACAAAATTTTCAGGATTTGTAGCTCTAGATGAGGGCTTTCAAATGGTATTTAGCTGAAATCGCTAGCTTTTATAGTTTTTGAGAAAATCGAGTTTGAAGTTTTGAACAAAATTTTGACTAAAGTCCAACTTTGAAGTTCGATTGCTCATGAACCCGTCGAGGTACTGGAACCAATATGGTACTGTTTTGGAGAGAATTTGATGCTCTTTCCAATGATATATAATTGTAGCTAATTTGCACAAACTATATTGAAGTAATGGGCAATTATTCAACAGCGTGTCAATATTTCAAAAAATTTCCATAGGCAAAAATTGAGATTACCTATAGGATTTTTTCTCTCATTATAATTCTCAAATCTAACTGATCTAAGAGTCGTTTTTGACTAATTTGAATTCGCTCTATCGATTTCTGAAGTCAAAATTAAGAGAATTCAAAAATAAAAACTTTCAATTTTTTGCACTTTTTTCTAAGGGATTTTTATTTTCAAATCTTCAAAGCTCGATATCTTGGTAACCAAAAGCGGTAGCGAGACAAAATTTTCAGGGTTTGTAGCTCTTGATGAGGGCTTTCAGATGGTATTTAGTTGAAATCGCTAGCTTTTATAGTTTTTAAAAAAATCCAGTTTGAAGTTTTGAACAAAATTTTGACTAAAGTTCAATTTTGGAGTTCGATTGCTCATGAACCCGTCGAGGTACTGGAACCAATATGGTACTGTTTTGAAGAGAATCTAATGCTCTTTCCAATGATATATAATTGTAGCTAATTTGCACAAACTATATTGAAGAAATGGGCAATTATTCATGAGCGTGTCAATATTTCAAAAAATTTCCATAGGCAAAAATTGAGAATTCCCATAGGATTTTTTCTTTCATTATGATTCTCAAATCTAACTGATCTAAGAGTCGTTTCTGACTAATTTGAATTCACTCTATGGATTTCTGACTCAGAATTGAGAAAAATTCAAAAATAAAAAAATTCAATTTTTTGCACTTTTTTCTAAGGGTATCCCCTTTGGATTTTTATTTTCAAATCTTCAAAGTTCGATATCTTGGTAACCAAGAGCGGTACCGAGACCAAATTTGCAGGGTTTGTAGCTCTCGATAAGGGCTTTCAGATGGTATATAACTGAAATCGCTAGCTTTTATAGTTTTTGAGAAAATCGAGTTTGAAGTTTTGGACAAAATTTTGACTAAAGTTCAACTTTGGAGTTCGATTGCTCATGAACCCGTCGAGGTACTGGAACCAATATGGTACTGTTTTGAAGAGAATTTAATGCTTTTTCCAATGATATATAATTATAGCTAATTTGCACAAACTATATTGAAGAAATGGGCAATTATTCATGAGCGTGTCAATATTTCAAAAAATTTCCATAGGCAAAAATTGAGAATTCCCATGGGATTTTTTCTTTCATTATGATTCTCAAATCTAACTGATCTAAGAGTCGTTTCTGACTAATTTGAATTCACTCTATGGATTTCTGACTCAGAATTGAGAAAAATTCAAAAATAAAAAAATTCAATTTCTTGCACTTTTTTCTAAGGGTATCCCCTTTGGATTTTTATTTTCAAATCTTCAAAGTTCGATATCTTGGTAACCAAGAGCGGTACCGAGACAAAATTTTCAGGATTTGTAGCTCTAGATGAGGGCTTTCAAATGGTATTTAGCTGAAATCGCTAGCTTTTATAGTTTTTGAGAAAATCGAGTTTGAAGTTTTGAACAAAATTTTGACTAAAGTCCAACTTTGAAGTTCGATTGCTCATGAACCCGTCGAGGTACTGGAACCAATATGGTACTGTTTTGGAGAGAATTTGATGCTCTTTCCAATGATATATAATTGTAGCTAATTTGCACAAACTATATTGAAGTAATGGGCAATTATTCAACAGCGTGTCAATATTTCAAAAAATTTCCATAGGCAAAAATTGAGATTACCTATAGGATTTTTTCTCTCATTATAATTCTCAAATCTAACTGATCTAAGAGTCGTTTTTGACTAATTTGAATTCGCTCTATCGATTTCTGAAGTCAAAATTAAGAGAATTCAAAAATAAAAATTTTCAATTTTTTGCACTTTTTTCTAAGGGATTTTTATTTTCAAATCTTCAAAGCTCGATATCTTGGTAACCAAAAGCGGTAGCGAGACAAAATTTTCAGGGTTTGTAGCTCTTGATGAGGGCTTTCAGATGGTATTTAGTTGAAATCGCTAGCTTTTATAGTTTTTAAAAAAATCCAGTTTGAAGTTTTGAACAAAATTTTGACTAAAGTTCAACTTTGGGGTACGATTGCTCATGAACCCGTCGAGGTACTGGAACCAATATGGTACTGTTTTGAAGAGAATCTAATGCTCTTTCCAATGATACATAATTGTAGCTAATTTGCTCAAATTATAATGAAGTAATGGGCAATTATTCATGAGCGAGTCAATATTTCAAAAAATTTCCATAGGCAAAAATTGAGATTTCCTATAGGATTTTTTCTCTCATTATAATTCTCAAATCTAACTGATCTAAGAGTCGTTTCTGACTAATTTGAATTCACTCTATGGATTTCTGAAGTCAGAAATGAGAAAAATTCAAAAATAAAAAATTTCAATTTTTTGCACTTTTTTCTAAGGGAGCCCTTTGGATTTTTAATCTCAAATCTTTAAAGCTCGATATCTTGGTAACCAAAAGCGGTACCAAGACAAAATTTTCAGGGTTTGTAGCTCTTGATGAGGGCTTTCAGATGGTATTTAGTTGAAATCGCTAGCTTTTATAGTTTTTAAGAAAATCGAGTTTGAAGTTTTGAACAAAATTTTGACTAAAGTTCAACTTTGAAGTTCGATTGCTCGTGAACCCGTCAAGGTACTGGAACCAATATGGTAGCAATATTCTAAAAGAGCTGCTACATTGAAAATTGAATAATTATTTGAAAAATATTTATTAATTCAATCCGGATGTCATTTTGGACTTTCCCATAGTTCCGATTGACTAAATTTTGGGAAGCAAATGGCGGATTTATGGTAGCAACATTCTAAAAGAGTTACTACATTGAAGATTAAAGAACTAATTGATCAAGAGAATATCTCGGGCATCATCAATTCTTGTAGAATGTTGCTACCTACCACCTATCCACTATTTTCTTCTTGGATGTCCAATTGTCACTGAGGAGCTACAGCATGGCATCAGAATTAAATTATCTGATCTTCAATATTCAATTTTTGACTATTCCCAACTGTTGGTTCAAATCAAGAGCCGAGAATAAACACTCTATTAACATAGCTCAAGTTTCATTCCAGGACAGTTTGAAATTAGAGTTGGCTACTTCAAAAGAGCCTAGAATAAGATTTTTATTCTTCTTCTCAGTTGAATTTTAGCTCTATGAGGGTGCAAAATGATCGCTCTATGTCAGTTGTAACTCTAGAATGGTCAACAATTACTCCTCCAGATCAATTTCAACTCTAGCAGAGCCTGGAATGAAATTTTCATGCTTCTCTATTTCAAATTTAGCACCACAATTAACTCTAGGATAGCCAACCAATACTTTATTTTTTCTGTTACAGATTGTGGTTTAGAACCAACACAAAATTGGGGCACCTCCATTTAAAACGCAACGAATTTTTCAAACTTATCGGAATCATCAAGGATTTGAAGAATAGTCTAAATAAAAAGGACGAGGTTATTTCTTCAAGTAGGGGTGAGTATAAATAAGAGAATCTATAGAGGTATAGATTCGCGAATTGAATTACTTATACCTTCCCAAAGTAATCACAACCTATTGTCTTACTATCCACTGGCATTTCTACCAATTATCCGATTATTCGCGAAGTTTCTAGTTATCAAGGATGAGAGATGTATGAAAATGGTATTCTTGATACATTGACAGGGCTAGAAAGTTTCATTACTACTCTTACATACAGGTTTGGAGAATTACATCCTTCGTCCTCATTGTTAAATATGTTTGGTTTGCAATGAATTGAACATCTTCTAGGAACGCAACTACTGGAAATATATTCATTGGAAATTCAAATGTACACCGTCCAAAAGAACTACAAAAAACTCAAACAACTGTACGAAGAATCGCTCAGAGTCCAACACGCCTTGCCTCATCCCCTAATAATGAGTGTAATTCGAGAATGCGGTAAAAAAAAAACTAAAAATTTTCAACTTAATATTCATCTAAACTAGAACTGATTCCAGGAGGCAAAATGCATTTGAGAGAGGCTCAATTCCAAAAGGCATACACTGACTTTTTCGTGGCTTTTAAGCACTATGACGAGGCGGGCAATGCTAGAAGACTCAGCTGTCTCAAGTACCTGATTTTGACCAGCATGCTTATGAAGAGCGACATCAATCCATTTGATTCCCAAGAAGCCAAGCCCTACGGTAACGATCCAGAAATTAGAGCAATGGCAACTTTAATTGATGCTTTCCAAAATAACCGAATGCACGAATTTATGCAGATTTTTGAGGCAAACAAGGAAACCTTAATCGCCGACCCATTTATAGCGGAGCATTTAGAGCGGTTGCTCAATGTGGTTAGAGGCAACGCCATTCTACAACTGATAAAACCTTATAGAACTATCAAAATTTCGTTTATAAGCCAAGAGTTGAGCATGGCAGAGAAAGATGTGGAAAATTTGTTGTCCTACTACATCCTGGACGGACAAATTGCTGGCAAGATCGACCAGATGAACATGACGGTGGAAATTCGCGAAGTTAAAGACGTGGGTCGGTATGTTGCCTACGATAAATTGCTCGAGAGTTTGTTTTGTGTATTTGAAGCTATTGAAACTAAAATTGACTAGTAATTTATTATTTGTATTTCATATTCTCATTCCCTTATGTATTAAGTTTCTATAATATATAAATTAGTTTGACTGTATAAGTAGGTATCGTTGTTTTATTCATTATCAAACAAAAATAGATCCCGAAGGAAATTAATTCAACTTTCCTTTGTGTCTTTTAGTACATTAGCGAGAATTAAGGTTTACTTTAGGTTTTATGGACCCTTTTACAAGCTTCTATAATATTAATATTTCATCTTTATTTCCACGCCAACCATTTATTTTCATTGCACCGCACTCGGAGTGACAGCGAGTGTGTAAAATTTCTATTTTCTTGTTTGGGAGCCGGAGAAAAAGGCCTTTTAGATTAATGATAAAATGATTTTCGGTAGTTTTTGTTATTTAACGAATTTTAAGGTCAAATCCTAAATCATTATTTGGAGAGTCAGTTCCAGAGTCTTGAATTAGCTTTGAGAAGAAATTAGTTGACATGTAGAAATATAATAGTTGGGGAGCTGGCGTCAAAAACATGCAAGAGTTTTCGCAAGGCGGATATTTTCAAAATAGGTCGTACTTTAGTGCTAGAATGCTAGTGTACAGTCAGCACTCACAGTTCCGGGACAGCTGGCTCTGGGACGCGGGCAAAGTTGTAATTTTAAGAAGCATCTAAACTGTTTTCTCAAAGCTCAAAATTTATAGAAATTTTGCACATTATCTGTTTGAAGGTCACAGATAACGTATGTAAATCGTCAGACGTCTAGTTCGTTGCAAAAAAGGGGTCAGACGTCCTCAAAGTTTTTATTTTATGGCATTTTCTTCGGTGTCCTGTCAAAATTTATTTTTGCAGGTATTTGACAAATATATTTGAAGAAAATGCCATAAAATAAAAACTTTGAGGAGGTCTGACCCCCTTTTTGCAACGAACTAGACGTCTGACGATTTACATACGTTATCTGTGACCTTCAAACAGATAATGTGCAAAATTTCTATAAATTTTGAGCTTTGAGAAAACAGTTTAGATGCTTCTTAAAATTACAACTTTGCCCGCGTCCCAGAGCCAGCTGTCCCGGAACTGTGAGTGCTGACTGTACACTAGCATTCTAGCACTAAAGTACGACCTATTTTGAAAATATCCGCCTTGCGAAAACTCTTGCATGTTTTTGACGCCACCTCCTGGACAGGATAAATCCGAAAAAATGCAGAGAATTCTCAAGATAAGAAAATTTCGAGTAAAAATGAAGATAAGTTCAAATAAAAATATCCTGAAAAAGAATCAAAGACAATTAAATTCTTTTCTAGTATCAATTTTTTCATCTTTTTAACAATTTCGAAATCAGCAAATTATCATCAAAAATGACTCAAAATTGCAATAAAGACATAAATTACTTAATAAAAATCAAAATTTTGAAAGAAAATGAAGCTAGAAATAACATTCAACGTAATACAGATAAAGTGAAAACTTTCTTTTTACTAAATTTCCAAAACTCTTGGAATGTGTTACGTATTCAAAACAAGAAACCAACAAAGTTAAATCTCCCCTCCTGAGATAAGTAAGTTTGTGCAAATTCCTGTAAAAACTTCAAACATTATTATGTAAATTTATAAGTTTAGAATATATTTCATCTTCATTTGGAGTACATTCAAAACGTATAGTTTTTCCTTTGACCCTAAACTAAAAGCATTTACGTAACACAGCTTATTGGATCTTGCCTCAGCAGGTTATTTAGCAACTGGGAAGCTGTTAAAACCACTCACTGGATAGGGCATTAGCCTGAGTGATTTATTAGGCAATAATTCTCCTATTACCATGCACAACAAGTATTGAGGATATAAATGGATAAAAATTTATTTTTATCCTTTCGCGAAGGTATAATTTGTAAAACAAATGTTTGCCCGGTTTCCAATTACTGAAGAGTTTCGGGATGAGAATCCAGAGCGAATTGCGAACAAATGCTAGGACTTTCGAATAAAAACTTTTCCGGTATTAACTAAGTTTCGTGCAATTTGGTTTTATTGACAAAGCCATATTTTTTCACACAAAAGTGTACATTTAAAGGATATTGTCTCTACTGTAATTCGAATAATATTAAAAAACTCTGGAGAAGCGGAAAATCTAAAGAAAAACCAATAGAAAATGACATTTCAAGACCTACTTGATAAAACTAAAGTTTTCGTTACTTACCCCCTTGAAAAACTGGAAATTTTTGGCAGAAAATGAAGGAAATTTAAAGCTTCGCACTTTAAATCAGATTTCCCGATTGAAAAAGCTCTGGAAAAACGGAAAATTCGAGGAAAAACTGAATAAAGACACTCACAATGGCCGACTGTCAAAAGTGACAAATGACATTATATTACAACTTACAAGGCCTACTTGATTGAAAGCGACGTTGCCACAATAACGATTTCAAACAGAGTTTTTCCACATTTTTCGATCGTTTTTCATCCCGGAAAAGTGACAAATTTCCATTTTTAATGTTGATTTAATTGAATTTTTGGCATAAGCAGTGATAATAAGTGAGTAAAACAAAGAAGGTAGGAAACAATTTAAGTGTTTGGTTTGTCTAAAAGTGGGAAAAAAATACACATTCAAAGCCCCGCCTTTAAAACCATCATTTTCTGATTAAAAAGGCCCTGCAAAAGCGGAAAATCCAAAGAAAAACCAATGGAAAATGACATTTCAAAATCTACTTGATAAAAGTAAAGTTTTCGTTACTTACCCCCTTGAAAAACTGGACATTTTTGGCAGAAAATGAAGGAAATTCAAAGCTTCGCACTTTAAATCAGATTTCCCGGTTGAAAAAGCTCTGGAAAAGCGGAAAATTCGAGGAAAAACTGAATAAAGACAGTCACAATGGCCGACTGTCAAAAATGTGACAAATGACATTACATTACAATTTACAAGGCCTACTTGATTGGAAGCGACGTTGCCACAATTACGACTGTAAACAAAGTTTTTCCACATTTTTCCATCGTTTTTCATCCCGGAAAACTGACAAATGTCCATTTTTAATGTTGATTTAATTGTATTTTTGGCATAAGCAGTGATAATAAGTGAGTAAAACAAAGAAGGTAGGAAACAATTTAAGTGTTTGGTTTGTCTAAAAGTGGGGAAAAAACACACATTCAAAGCCCAGCCTTTAAAACCATCATTTTCTGATTAAAGAGGCCCTGCAAAAGTGGAAAATCCAAAGAAAAACCAATGGAAAATGACATTTCAAAACCTACTTGATAAAACTAAAGTTTTCGTTACTTACCCCCTTGAAAAACTGGAAATTTTTGCAGAAAATGAAGGAAATTCAAAGCTTCGCACTTTAAATCAGATTTCCCGATTGAAAAAGCTCTGGAAAAGCGGAAAATTCGAGGAAAAACTGAATAAAGACACTCACAATGGCCGACTGTCAAAAGTGACAAATGACATTACATTACAATTTACAAGGCCTACTTGATTGGAAGCGACGTTGCCACAATTACGACTTCAAACAAAGTTTTTCCACATTTTTCCATCGTTTTTCATCCCGGAAAAGTGACAAATTTCCATTTTTAATGTTGATTTAATTGTATTTTTGGCATAAGCAGTGATAATAAGTGAGTAAAACAAAGAAGGTAGGAAACAATTTAAGTGTTTGGTTTGTCTAAAAGTGGGGAAAAAACACACATTCAAAGCTCCGCTTTTAAAACCATAATTTTCTGAATAAAAAGGCCCTGCAAAAACGGAAAATCCAAAGAAATACCAATGGAAAATGACGTTTCAAAACCTACTTGATAAAACTAAAGTTTTCGTTACTTACCCCCTTGAAAAACTGGAAATTTTTGGCAGAAAATGAAGGAAATTCGAAGCTACGCACTTTAAATCAGATTTCCCTATTGAAAAAGCTCTGGAAAAGCGGAAAATTGGAGGAAAAACTGAATAAAGACACTCGAAATGGCTGACTGTCAAAAGTGACAAATGACATTACATTACAAGGCCTACTTGATTGAAAGCGACGTTGCCACAATCACGATTCCAAATAGAATGTTTTTTCACATTTTTCGATCGTTTTTGATCCCGGAAAAGTAGTAAATTTTCATTTTTAATGTTGATTTATTTGTATTATTGGCAAAACCAGTGATAATAGTGAGTGAGACAAAGAAGGAGATAATGTAGGATATAATTTAAGTATTTGGTTTGTCTAATAGGGGCGGCCGAGTCTCTGGAACCATCGTTTTCTGATTAAAAAAACGAAAAATCCAAAGAAAAACCAATGGAAAATGACATTCCAAAGCTTACTTGATAAAACTAAAATTTTCGTTACTTACTCCCTTGAAAAACTGAAAATTTTTGGCAGAAAATGGAGGAAATTCAAAGCCCCGCACTTCAAATCAGTTTTCCCGATTGAAAAAGCCCTGGAAAAGCGGAAAATTCGAGGTAAAAACTGAATAAAAATACTCAAAATGGTCGACTGTCGGAAATTTTTGACAGAAAATTAAGGATGCCCCCGCACTTTAATTCGGTTTTCCCGAATGAAAAGTTCCTCGAAAAATAATTGGATATAAACATTCAAAATGGCCGACTGTCAAAAGTGACGTTACAATAAGGCCTACTTGATCGAAAGCGACGTTGCCACAATTAAAATATCGAACCTAAAGTTTTTTTCAGATTTTAGTGAACAAGGCAAAGAAGGAGTAAGGTAAGATACATTTGCAAAAACACTAAATGCGATTATAAATGAGTAAAACAAAGAGGGAGATAAAGTAGGAGGCAATTTGAGTATACAGATTAGGTACTTGGACTACTTTTATACATTAAACCTCAAATAGTTCAATTTGTAAAGCGAAACTTTGTTCAAGTTAATTTAATTTAAACTATGTGCATGCACACCAGACCCATTTAACCCCTCACGAGACAAATTGTTTTGTCTGGGATAAAGTTTACTTAAAATTTCAAGATTATATAGGCAGTTAACTCTGAATTGTAAAGACTTACCTCTCATATAAATATAAGCTGTCCCCCGCATATTCCTCCTGGTAAGCACAATCAAATTGAATATATTCCCAACTATTCCTAATAGACATATTGAAGGCAAAGCCACTCCGTACGAGTACCTTCTCAAAGTTTCCGTTCTTGGATCTTCCGAAGCCGGAATCGTATCTGAAATCAATTGCAAACGCGATAAAATCAGGGATCCATTCACGAAAAGCGTCGCTGCAAGAATATAAAATTTTCTAGTTTTCGATAAAGTTTTATCGCTCCAGACAGTGTAATAATTATGGCAGAAATAAAAGATTCTTACCTAAAATACTCGCTGGTAAAGCGGACAAATTCGTCCAGACGCAAGGGGCGCAATCCAAAGTACCATTGCCGCATAGTGAGTAATCTGGAGAATCGCCAGAGTAAAACATGGACATGATGAAACTGGGTCAATTTACGTTGTGAACGGGTCCATGATTATCACCTAAAACATTAAATTTGTATAGAATCCTAGTTGCTGATACGAATATTTACGCTAGATTAACGTTAATTTCTTAAGAGAGGGTTGCTTTTAAGGGGTGCGTTAAATTACATAGTTAATAATCGTAAATGTACTATTCGAGGTCGTCTAGGGGGTTCGATGAACTAATTTAGGAAAAAAGAAACATGGTGTATGGAAAAATTGTTGGATTTTGCTTTTAAGCAAACAAATACCCAATTTTCAGCTATATAATCTGTTTTTATTCCCACCAATCAATTCTGTGTTTGTTTTCATTCAAGATTTTTTGAATTTTCATTATTTTTTTATTCCAGGCTCTTGTTGAATTCTCTGAAGGAAACAGAGTAATTCAAGAGCCGGGAATAGACAAAATATTTATAAAAATATAGGACTAAGGAGAAATTGAAGATGTTTTTTGTTTCTCTTTAAAAACCCTTTTTATCTCAGGAATTATAAGTGCAAATGAGCTGAAATTCTCAGAGATTGTAGTCCCTTGATTTGGATAAAATTCAGTAAAAGTTTCAGCTTTCTATCTATAATAGAAAAAAAGTTATGACCTTCATAAGGTAATGTACCTTCTTACTAAAACGATGAAATTTCAATTTTTTTTTTCTCCATACACTAAATTATTCTCAGATTTGAAGCCGAAATCTATGAAAAAAGGCACTCAGAAAAATTGAAAAATTGATAAATCACCCCAAATTGCTTAACACGATTTTATCTCAGGAACTATAAGTGAAAATGAGCTGAAATTTTCAGGGATTGTAGTCCCTTTATTGAGATAAATTTCAGTGAAAGTTTCAGCTTTCTATCTATAATAGAAAAAAAGTTATGACCTTTCAAAATTTTCCAAAATCTAAATCATAAGGTAGGTAGGTACCTTCTAACTAAAACGATGAAATTTCAAAATTTTTTTTGGTCGAGATTTTGTATCCTAATGGTCAATCAACATCCCCCAAACTCCATACACTAAATTATTCTCAGATTTGAAGCCGAAATCTATAGAAAAAGGCACTCAGAAAAATTGAAAAATTGATAAATCACCCCAAATTGCTTAACACGATTTTATCTCAGGAACTATAAGTGCAAATGAGCTGAAATTTTCAGGGATTGTAGTCCCTTGATTGGGATAAAATTCAGTGAAAGTTTCGGCTTTCTATCTATAATAGAAAAAAAAGTTATGACCTTTCAAAATTTTCCAAAATCTAAATCATAAGGTAGGTACCTTCTTACTAAAACGATGAAATTTCAATTTTTTTTTTGTCGAGATTTTGTATCCTAATGGTCAATCAACATCCCCCAAACTCCATACACTAAATTATTCTCAGATTTGAAGCCGAAATCTATAGAAAAAGGCACTCAGAAAAATTGCAAAATTGATAAATCACCCCAAATTGCTTAACACGATTTTATCTCAGGAACTATAAGTGCAAAGGAGCTGAAATTTTCAGGGATTGTAGTCCCTTTATTGAGATAAATTTCAGTGAAAGTTTCAGCTTTCTATCTATAATAGAAAAAAAGTTATGACCTTTCAAAATTTTCCAAAATCTAAATCATAAGGTAGGTACCTTCTTACTAAAACGATGAAATTTCATTTTTTTTTTTTGTCGAGATTTTGTATCCTAATGGTCAATCAACATCCCCCAAACTCCATACACTAAATTATTCTCAGATTTGAAGCCGAAATCTATAGAAAAAGGCACTCAGAAAAATTGATAAATCACCCCAAATTGCTTAACACGATTTTATCTCAGGAACTATAAGTGTAAATGAGCTGAAATTTTCAGGGATTGTAGTCCCTTTATTGAGATAAATTTCAGTGAAAGTTTCAGCTTTCTATCTATAATAGAAAAAAAGTTATGACCTTTCAAAATTTTCCAAAATCTAAATCATAAGGTACCTTCTTACTAAAAAGATGAAATTTCATTTTTTTTTTGTCGAGATTTTGTATCCTAATGGTCAATCAACATCCCCCAAACTCCATACACTAAATTATTCTCAGATTTGAAGCCGAAATCTATAGAAAAAGGCACTCAGAAAAATTGATAAATCACCCCAAATTGCTTAACACGATTTTATCTCAGGAACTATAAGTGTAAATGAGCTGAAATTTTCAGGGATTGTAGTCCCTTTATTGAGATAAATTTCAGTGAAAGTTTCAGCTTTCTATCTATAATAGAAAAAAAGTTATGACCTTTCAAAATTTTCCAAAATCTAAATCATAAGGTACCTTCTTACTAAAAAGATGAAATTTCATTTTTTTTTTGTCGAGATTTTGTATCCTAATGGTCAATCAACATCCCCCAAACTCCATACACTAAATTATTCTCAGATTTGAAGCCGAAATCTATGGAAAAAGGCACTCAAAAAATTTGAAAAATTGATAAATCACCCCAAATTGCTTAACACGATTTTATTTCAGGAACTATAAGTGCAAATGAGCTGAAATTTTCAGGGATTGTAGTCCCTTTATTGAGATAAATTTCAGTGAAAGTTTCAGCTTTCTATCTATAATAGAAAAAAAGTTATGACCTTTCAAAGTTTTCCAAAATCTAAATCATAAGGTAGATTGTAGTCCCTTGATTGGGATAAAATTCAGTGAAAATTTCAGCTTTCTATCTATAGTAGAAAGCTAAAGGAAACAGAGTAATTCAAGAGCCGGGAATAGACAAAACATTAATAAAACTGTAGGATTTAGGAGAAATTGAAGAGGTTTTTTGTTTCTCTTTAAAAACCCTTAAAGCTTTAAGTTATTGGCAACCCTGCCTACTATTGTCAAAAGAAAATCCAAAACTGATCTGCAGTGACATTTCTAATAATTTTGTTGACAACTTTTCCTTATTATTATGTTAATAATAGCCCTCAAATTTTCACACCGTGTTGAATTTATACCTATCAATATTCTTCCTCCATCTCTTGTTTGCCCTATTTATACAAAAGAAAATAAATTGGATATTTTCTTTATTATAACAAGCAATTTTCTTTTCAACAAAAAGAATAGTAGGTATTTTTTAAATTGGACGTGGCAATACTGTTTCTATTTTAATATAGTAGGCGATGGATTTGGCAATGTTGCCACCTTGCGCCCTCTCAAAAACATAAAACCTTGTTAATTAAAATAACGAGAAATTTATTGTTCGATTGCCTTTTTCCTTTTTACACTAAAATACTCGTTATTAAATCATCGCCCCCCTAAAAAAGAAAATTTAATGAAGTTGAAATTTGCTTAAGATCCGGGAGGCGTGAAAGTTGCAACCGAAAAAGGTTTCCTTCCTTTAAACGTAAATTTTCTCCTTTTGCAGTGTTTAATTATGATGTGAAAAAGGAAAACTTAATTTTGTCTGCATGTTGTTTCAAGGAATGGTTGAAGATTTTTTTCGGGTTTTTGATTAGATTCAACAGGAAAAGTGTTTGAAGTAAAAAGCCCGCTAGTAGGTTATGGGCCCAGAACAAAGATATAAATTTATCTGTATAGGGAGCTTTTAGATTAAGATCTCAAGTTAGCGCCGACCCCAATTTATGTCCCTTATCTATTTTATAAACGTCTCTTAAGGGGTATTTTATTGGCCATCAAATCCGAATATAGAAAAACTCCAGGGGTAAACCGCAAGGGAAATCTGGTATACAAATTAGGAAAAATCTAAAGGAAGTTCAAGGAAATCTTAGGTATTTAGTGAAAAATCATATGGGATATCTTGAGGAAATCAGTCAATCTAAGGCATGTGTAGCTTTCAAAAATATTTATAATTTGAGATTATAATGTTATCGGGGGAACTCTTGGGTACCGGTAATAAGAAAAAATCAGCGGAAAGACGACACTATGATTCTGTATCCTAATGGTCAATCAACATTCCCCAAACTCCATACACTAAATTATTCTTAGATTTGAAGCCGAAATCTATGAAAAAAGGCACTCAGAAAAATTGATAAATCACCCCAAATTGCTTAACAAAATTTTATCTCAGGAACTATAAGTGCAAATGAGCTGAAATTTTTAGGCATTGTAGTCTCTTCATTGGGATAAAATTTAGTGAAAGTTTCAGCTTTCTATCTGTAATAGAAGAAAAGTTATGACCTTTCAAAGTTTTCCAAAATCTAAATCATAAGGCAGGTAGGTATTTTCTTACTAAAACGATAAAATTTCAAATTTTTTTTTTCGAGATTTTGTATTCTAATGGTCAATCAACATCCTCCAAACTCCATACACTAAGTTATTCTCAGATTTGAAGCCGAAATTTATGAAAAAAGGCACTCAAAAAAATTGAAAAATTGATAAATCACCTTAAAATGCTTAACACTATTTTATCGCAGGAACTATAAGTGCAAATGAGCTGAAATTTTCAGGGATTGTAGTCCCTTTATTGAGATAAATTTCAGTGAAAGTTTCAGCTTTCCATCTATAATAGAAAAAAAGTTATGACCTTTCAAAATTTTCCAAAATCTAGATAATAAGGTAGGTACCTTCTTACTAAAACGATGAAATTTCAAAATTTTTTTTGTCGAGATTTTGTATCCTAATGGTCAATCAACATCCCCCAAACTCCATACACCAAATTATTCTCAGATTTGAAGCCGAAATCTATGAAAAAAGGCACTCAGAAAAATTAAATCGTATACCGTTCTCGTCCTGGAATTCAAGAGGGGAATGAACACGGCAGAGAAACCCTCGATCTCACTTCCTCAAAAATCGAACCATACTGTGTCATTTTAATAATAATTGTGAGTCATTAATCAATAAATAATAATTTAAGTCAATTATTCAATAATTCAATGCAAGTTCAAATTAGGTACCATCTTTTGTCTTTGTGCTAAAATTTTAATTCCACACACAACAATAAAGTTTTTGTTAGTTAGCCAGTTTCACCAGCAGGTACTGAGGTCCCATACGGGAAGCTACTCAGCTATAGTTATTTTTGAGCCAATATCTCTCGATTGATTATTTCAATTTGTTTGCTAGGATATTCGCTCGTTAGGATAGGAGAATGTT